TTAATTTGTGGGCTTATGTATAAATTTATGTCACATAGAATAAACAATAATTTCTAACACGTGATTATTTTGTTTAAAAAGTCATTAAAAGACGACCCATAATACTAGAGACTATAAAAATGGATCATTTTTCCTAATAAAGACACTAATGGAAATATATTGATGAAAGCTGGCAATCTCAAGAGCCATCATTAAAATTCGATAAAGTTAATGAGGCGTCAAATGTATTAGAAAGACAGGTCCAAGAAAAATTATTATATACATTTTTCCAGCAAATAACGTAACTTAAAATATCCATGACATACATTGATAAATTATATAAAAGAGCTTAAACCTTGTCAAAATGAACAATTTATAATAAATTAATAAACTATACACTATAAAAATATAAAATGATTTGTATTTGTTTGATTAACGACATTGTTCGTGAAAAAAAAAAAACATAGAAACGAATAAACGATTGAGAGATCTGTGCAACGCATATTATAATATTATAATATCTGTTCGATTATTATATTAAAATATAATGCATAATATAATGCATTGAAGACGTTGTATAAATACTTAGTGGAAAAAATGAAAATGAAAATAAGCTTAAAATATACGTAGCATACATCACAGTTTCAAAGAAACGTGTTCGATGTTGAGTAAACAGGTATCGCTGATCCCGAAAGTGGTAATTTGCACATAATACGAGTATATCATTACGTATTATTAGTAGGTTTAGCGTTTTCACAATTCGATTTTGAAACGCCAATGATTGAAGTTAAACGTAAAATAGACTGAAGTCATAAAGTGTAACAAACGACTATCCGCTAACCAGTTATTATAGAAATATACATTCGTGTAGATTAAATAATAATGTAATCGCACTTCCGAGGACTTAGCGAGGGTTGAGTCGAAACTATGTGCAGAGAGGCAAAGTAGACGACACTAATGATGCACGTTTCACCAACTAAATTGTTCTATATGCGCATAGCGAGAATGTTAAATAAGTTTGTACACATTACTCCCGATGTCTAATTGTCAATTGTTATAGAGTTTAGTCGATTTGGATTAATAAATTTTTACTGGTGTAATTAACCAAATTATTAGAGCGAGTAAAAAAATAAATATATCATAACTAAAGTGGAACGCACAAATTTAGTGTTCGAAAAATTTGTGTAATATAAAATTATGACATACCTTAATTTTAATAATTTTTTTTCCTTCGTATATTCATGTTCATCTATTATCAATCATTGCTTCCTTTATAATATTATTAAAGTACTTACAATTTTCTATGCGATCAACAAACACACCAAAAATGATACAATATCATACAGAAATATAGAATACTCACATTCCAATAGCATCGTATACTTTTAAATTATTTAAATATAATAATAATAAGTCAACTGTAGCCATAAATACATTTATATCATAAATATTTCTATTAAAAAATTTAATGTTCACGTTTTCGTAACTCCAAACACTACATACAGATATTCAATAGATATTGTCATTATGACAAGTTAAACTGTGTTCTGTGCATAAGACAAGGTTTGCCGTTACGTCTTCAATTTAAAGACGTAATTATAAACTCAAAATATTTAAAAAAAAAAAAGACTTTTTGATCTGCAGATAATCTGGCTCCGCTATGTTTTATAAATGTATGATACAAACTTGGCGTTTTAGTCCCTTGTTTAACTGTTGTATAAATTTCTTCCAGTAATGCGTAAAGGAATAATAATATCAAATTAATCATTTTTGTTTTATGGCTATTGAATTGGAGTAGTTAGGGATAATATACAAGAAGACTAGAAAAAAATTTACGAGACTCATAACCACACAGCAAAGACTATATTATAATATAAAATCTATCATATTGTACTATGTAAACAATTATTGATTTTTTTTTCTTGAATAAAAACTACTATTCCCGTAATATTAGGTATTTAGATATGCGATGCATAATTAATGGATATATTGATTACTAGTTAATTTTAGTTATTCCATACTGCTTTGTATCCATTGACGTATCATAAATACATATTTATATTTTAATAATTTTACACACATATATTTCTGACTGCCATTTCTGCAGAAAGTTTTAGTGTACAGTTATTATAGATTTTGTTTTGGAAGCGCATGTAATAAACATGATTTATTAATACTGTAAAATGTAACAGTATAATTTTATTTTTGTTTAAACTCCATGAGAAAAAACTCCAAAAGTATATTTATGATATGGACAAACATAAAAAATTCTTGTAGACAGTCACATTTTTAAAAATCCGGTTATTTAACTTGCATGAACTTACGTGGTGTATTAATGTATACAAATAAATATATAAATGCATTTAAAAATTGTTTGAATTTATGAGGAAATTCCACTTTTACATGAAGTTATATATAATAATTACATAAAGTTTGGTTGAAACTAATGAGACAAAGGTTATTGGTTCCCGCTTTTACTCGTAAATAAACTTCAAATACTTATTGAAATTAGTGAAATCTAAAAAATAAAATTTATTTTTAATAACTATTAAGTAACCAATTATAATGGTTTATTTAATATTTTTTACAATACAATTGTTATTATCATACAACTTAGAGTAATTTATTATTTTAACATAAAACCACAGAAAAAAAAATAAAAAACAGGTCAATTGCTGACAATTTAAGGATTTAGATACGTATAATCGTATAATAGGACATAACACAAAAAAAACTATCAATATTGACGTAATTTAATCTCTTATTTTTTAATTTTAATATGATATAAAATTATCCGTAAATAATAGTATCATTTGTTGTTAAAAATATATAGATACTGATTGTGCATAAATAATATTTAATTTATAAATTATAATAATTTATCTATTACAATTGCGTCATGGATTAATTATTGTTACTTATGGTTTTATTTAATTGTTATTAATATTATTATATTATAAATTTAATTTATTGTTATTGTTATTATTATAATAATAATGATGTAACCATCAAATCAAATCAATTATTGTAAAAATATGTATTTGTATTTTGTTACTTTAAATAATATAAAAGAGCTATATATATTATATTAAAAATAAAATGATTAGGTTAAGTTATGTAGATTATTATTTTAAAGAAAACATGTTATATTACGTATATTACTACCTCAATAAAAATGCTCTCTTATCAAGTAAAACAATAGCCATTATTTAATTGTGTGGAATAATTATTTTAACAATTTAATTGAGAAATATTATCAAAAAATAATGACATAATACACAGAACATTTAAACTATTAACAAAATGTTATTTATAAATTTATTTCAAGTATAGAATATTCTATCGATAACTTGAAAATTTTTTTTTTTTTGAAAGATTATTATTTTATTCATCACTATTATTCATATTTAGTGTAGTTAAAAAAAATATTAACAACTAAGAAAAAAAATATCTTTATTTTAGTATAATATGACATTGTTAATAAATTCGTAATCAGAATTTAACTTTAGACTTTCTTCGAATGATTTACGCTCAGGGCTGATAAAATCTAAAGTTATTTAAAGTATCTTAAAGCCTTAAGATTAAAATTTTAAAAAACATTTCTGTTATCTTAAAATATCAAATTATCCAGGAGAGCAATATAAAGTTGAAACAGTAATATTGAATGATTTAATGATTATTTAAAAACGAATAACAGTTTTCTCGAAATTTGTTTTTTTTATCAGAATAAAATAAAACTTAAATAAACAATTACAATAACTAAATCTATATTAGTATAAAAAAGATTTTCAAAAAAAAAAAAATCGATTGAGCCCCTTTTTCTTCTGAGTTCACGATTATTTATTGAAAAAATTCTATTATAATTCTATGTAAAACTTATATCGGTAAATACTATATCATCCATAATATATCAATGGCACACCAAAAAGAAAAGTAAAGACCCAAGGAAAGTGGTGGAAGTAAAACCACTACGTAAATAAAAAATTTATTTTATTTTATCTGAGCAAAATAATTCATATTATAATAATTAAACTTTGTACCTATGTCAATAAAAAAATATAATGAAAAAATTAAGTTTCTTGATTGAACTATAATATACGAGTAGACGGAGGTTGTCCAAAAATATCCTGAAAGTGACAGTGATACTTGTAAGATTAAAAGTATTTCTAATATTGTATTTAAGATGTTCATATTTTTTTAATTGATTTAAATTATTCATTTTGTCTATTTAATTTGACAGTTTATTAATGACATTTATTTTTATCATCATAACTAAATTTCATTTATTATTTTTCTGAATATTTTAATTATTAAAATTGTTGTGTGTTATTTTACTAGAGATATACAAAATATAACTTTTCAGTACTTGGACTATGCTAATTGATTTTGAAAACTATAAAGTTTTAAAATATATATTTATAAACGCTCACCATTGGAGTAAAAAAAAAAATAACCGATCTACAAAAAATTAAAATTTCTATGAATAAACTAATAATATACCACGTATAAAAACCAACTTTTTTCTCAAAAACTTCATAGAATTTTAAATCTAAGGTATGATATTATAATACTAAATTAGCAATCGTCTTAAAAGTTAATAATTCTATTACGTATTTATGATTCCGTAAAATACAAAAGTAGATAAAAATCTCAGATTACTAAAAACAATTAAAGAAACTTGAATAAAAACGCTCAAGGTTAAATAAAAAACACCACTGCTGTATGAAATAAATTCATAAGATAACGATTTGGAGAAAAAACGATATTTAACTTTACTTTTTACCTAAAAATTATAATAATTTAATGATAAAATTAATATAGAAATTGCATTATGAAAAAAAATCGTAACAATACAATTAAAAAAGTTGATGCTACATTATTATATACATATTATGCAAACATTTAAAAATCTAGTTTCTAACAAAAATAATAGTAATTTAAACTACCATACACAACAATATCATATCATATGATGTTTAAAATAGTAAAACAAAATAATAATTTATCGGAAAACCATTCCATTTGCAGTGAAATAATTATAATTGATTAATCATCTGGTTTTCAAAGTTTTCGGACAAAAAACATTTTATCCACCTTTGTGACAATAGCGTTGAAAAGCTCACAACATTTGCGCATCGTGCTTACATGTGATAGCTAGTTATCGACGGGCAAGTGTTCGTGCACATATGTCCGGCTGCCACCTTCTGCAAATTGGGCTGCTGCGTGACCGTCGCCGTTCAGTATCCATTTGGTTGTCAGTAGTCCTTCGACTCCCACAGGACCACGTGCGTGTATTCTTGCCGTGCTAATGCCCACCTCGGCGCCTAAAATTAAAAAGAAAAATCACATACATCAATATTGTTTTAATATATTAAAATTATCGCGAAAAATCCACCTACTATGACGTAAAATCGAATTCACCTAACTATAATTTACTTAATAAGAAAATCCATTCCCGGCTGTGATTTCTACCAAAATAGACCTATAACATGCTAATTATATGAACTATCCTGACAATTTTATTTATCGGAATAATTCTAAAAACAATATTTGAATTCGTCATGCAGTTTACTTGAAAAATTACTTTTATTTTAATTTTTTTTTTTTTTTGCAAATTTAACTCAGAATCCCTTCATAATTATATTTTTAAATTTTATACAACTACTATGAATTTTAAAATGTTAATAATATTTATCTAATTGTAAGATAATCGATTTGAAATAAATTTCATGAATTATGCGAGTTATGGCGAATTAAAATATTTTTTTTAACACATTTAACTCGATAACTAGATTACTTTACAGAAAAAACAAAAGATTAATACTTTAAATGAAAAAATAAAAAAATAAAGTGAAACGCGTTTGATAACACGTGAAACGAGTAGAAGTGGTCAATATAATTACGATACGTCCGTTATTTAATTCCCTTAGCTCTTAGGTTACAGAAATTAAATTTTAGTGACGTTTAACGTCTGGTCATAAGAAAAACATGTTAGGAAGTGGACAAATCGATTTTTTTGATAGTTTCACAAACTTTTAGAAAAATAAATGTTGACGTTAATATTTTAATTTAAAATGATTAAATACTAATGGTAAAACACGTTTTCTTTTAGAAAATATGAAATATAAATAAAAATAATAAGTATGTATTAGGTATACCTACAAATAATTTAAAAAAAAATCAATTTTTTTTATTCACAAAATATGCTAATCTAACCTATAGAATAGATTCTCAACTTAATCTGCTATAAATCTAGTGCGTATTTATAGTATTTAACTGTTACAACTTTTGAGCACTAATCATAACATTGTTTATTTCTAAGAAAATTTATTGTTTAAACAACAGTAACTACGCTTACATACAAGATACAACTACTATTTGAGGGATTAGATAATTTACTATGTTTTACTTTCTTGAACGAAATAATGAAAAAAAGTCTTCCAGTTTTATAAAATGGCAATGTAATAAATTAAAAAGTCATTCCATATCAGTATCATTCTTGGTTATTGCACGTGATTACAAAATTATTTAGAAAAGTGACATCGGTAAAAGATTTCGAACACCGGAGGTGAGGTGGTTGAAACAGTGAAATACCAAATGTTAACACGAATTGATGGAAACCTTGTTTGAATGTCAGAGATATATTTTTTTTTTTCAATATTTTAACACAAAATACTTGTGTTATAATATTTTATTTAATGAAATTCCAATAAAAGCATTTTTCTTAATAATATTAAATGTATAATATTTGAAATGTTATTTTAAAAATTCTGATGCTTCGCAAATAAAGTATTCATCTATCTATTGAACTGTAATTCTTTTAAATGTGTTGCATTATAAGTACATTTGTAACTTCTGGATTTTTTTCCCATGCGAAAAGATTTTTTCTCAAAGAAAATAACTTTATAGACTGTCTTATAAATTGTTTTAGAATAATTATTTTTATGAACATATACCTTTTTTCTTGACTGATTTTAATATGAAATTAATGAATAACAATATTTTAAAATTAATAGATATTGTTTAAATTCATAGTATAAAAATTAAAAAATATAATATTTTAATTAAATAATGTTTGAGTCTGTATAATATTTATTTTTTTAAATTTTTATAGCTAAACAACATCGAAACACTTCACACAACCTGTAACCTATCGCCAATGAACTTAAAGCATGTGATAGATTTACGTAACACGTTATTTATTGTTTATATGTTTACAAAATATCTCTAAACTACAAGCATCGTATACAAATATACAACTCTACGATACATATGCGATGCATAAATTAACGTGCTTAATACATTTACATTTGAAAACTTTAGCTTTTTATACATTTTGTGGAATTGTTAATAATTCTTAACCCCGTAGTCCGTGGGGGGTTCAAAAATCTAAAAATGAAATACAAAATAAATATTGAAAACGGACAATGAGATAAAAAATAAAATAAAAACTTAATAACTTCACGAAAAGTAAAATATTCCAATTTTATACATGCAATATTAAATTCAATTTTCTCGAGGGACTTTTATCGGTCCCAGGGTATATCCTCCATACAGTGTATTTTATTTTTTTAAATCTTCCAAAATACTATAAATACGAAATCCTGATTTTCAAGATGACTGCAATTCACAAACATTTATTTTATCAAACGAATACTTAATTTTATTTGTTTTTTTTTTTTTTAAATTTCCGATAACTTTTGAATAGAGTTGCGTAGTATCAAAAATAACCTAATTAATTTACATTATTATACTTGAGATTATTATATTGAATACATTTAAGAATAGTTTTTTTTTTTTTTTTTTAACTTTTTATTCCATATTCAACGTAATTTAAGACGTATATTAATTATTTGTGACTAATATTTAAAATCCTAAGCGGAGTGATAAATGTAACATTTCTTAACTACATTTTATATCAAGTAGATTAATTATAAATAACTTAAATTTATAATATATGTATAAGTTTTAGAAACGTTTAAAAACTAAAATTAGGATATTTTAACGCAAAAGAAGTTTTTGAAAAATGTTCTAATTTTCATATTTTTATCAAGGAATAAACGTATATATTTGAAATTTTCATTAAATGTTTATAATAGTACTGTTTATACATAATATGATTAAAAAAATATTTTAAATTTATTGTTACACTTTCTAGCTATTTATAGGCATTTAAAAATTTGTGAAATTCACGAACATTTTCGATTTTTATGGTTTGAAAAAGTTATTTTTTATAGGTCCCTCATAAAATGTTTTAGTTATTTTATAATTACCTATTCAAAACTACTTGCCGTTTTTACACATGTTATTTTATTATACGCAATTTTATTTTCAAAGAATTTAGATAAATAAAATTTTAAAATATTGTCTATTTTTAGTTAATAGGTATAGTTTTAATAATAGTTAGTTAAATTACTTTAATAGTAATTTAAACGTATAATAAAATAAACTTAGTAACATAAGTTGCTAAACTCAGTTCAGAATTATTTTTTTATCAGCAATTATTTATGAATGAATTAAAATTTAGCATACGTTAAAGTAACCTATTCAATAAAAAGGGATACACTAAGAATCTACTACATAGCAGAGCGGTTACCTACTTGCCCACATTTTCATTTTGTCTGTTATCTTGACTTATAATTTCTACTCGTGGTATTTATTATTAACATACCTATTTTTTTTCATTCCTGACTCGTGGGTTTCAAAATAGTTTAAGTCACCAGTTAGGTTAAAATGTCAACAACTTAGGAACTTTCTATAGTTGTTATTAATGATTTAACCATTAACAGAAGAAATACTTCGGTAAATCATTTTTATTAGATGTTTTAAAGTATGCTGATTAAAAATACCATACTTAATATAAATAATAAGACAGACAAATAAAATATTTAAATATTCAAAATATGGAATTATTAAGATTTTACTAAAAAATCGATTTAAAAGTTCTAATAAGTTAAACATACGGTAAAATCTAAATCACGAGTTTTGAAATTTTTGAATTTAATTTACCCCGACGTTATACTTATTGAAACCATGCGCTTAATTGTTTCTGATAATATTCCTTTGGCACTAGTAAACTGAATAAACTGTTTTAAGATATGTCATCGTACCAACGGTATATTTAAAGGATTAACTCTACTTCAGAATTCTTAACACGTCCTAGACTTTTATCTTTTGTACCTACTTAAAATGTTTTTCAAACGTGAGTTTTTTCTTACTAGATCTTTTTACACGCTCGTTTTTAAAAATATAAAGAAATCCTTTTTTAACAAAGTTACTGTTTGAAAAATTTTCATTAACGGAATATTATTTGAAATACCAAAACCCTTTTTAATTTATTATGCTATAGCTATACCATCACTTCAATGCTCATCAATGTTGTTTTCATTAAATTAAACAAACGCCATATAAATTAATGATACAATTTGTTAGTCACCACATCATTGTTAAATAAATGGCTTCGAGCTTTAAGTTAATTGAGTTATTATTAAATTTTATTTATATAAAATAAAACAAATTTTACTATATTTATATTACCTCAACAGTAGATACACAATACTATACTTAAATTTCAATTAAACTAGTATAATAAAAATGTATACTTTAAAATTTAAATTTAAAAATAGTTTTTTCTGGGTTCTTAATATTATATTTATTTTAATAAATCTTCAAAAAATAATGAAATTAACAACAACACTTACCCAGACCAAATCTAAATCCATCTGCAAACCTTGAGCTAGCATTATGGAATACACAGGCGCTATCAACATCTCTTTGGAATTTTGTAGCGGCATCACCTAATTATAAAATAATAATTTGTTGTCATTACTATTTACAGTTAATAAATATCAATATTCTAAATCATACTGTTTTCAGTAATGATAACTTCTGTATGACCACTTCCATATGTATGTATGTGATTGATAGCAGAGTCCAGTCCAGAGACCAATTCAATAGCACAAGCTAATTCACCGTATTCGTGTTTAAGAGATTTAGCTTGAGGAGGCCCAAAAGTTAAACGAGATGATAATTTTGGACCAGAAAATAATTGAACCTATAAAATAAAAAAATATGTACGATATAATAAAACTCTAAAATAAATTTTATAAATATTTATCATTTTTTAATTTACCTAAAAAAAATATTTAGTGCAATGATAATTTATAAAATGTGAATAGGTATCTGGTATATACAATTCAATGCAAAAATATATTTTTGATCACATTGAATTGCATTTTCTGTACTAATTAGTTGTTAATAGTTCATACAAAAATAAATAATTATTTTAATGAATATTTAACTTATTAAATTATTAAATATATGCTGAATATTACTTCATAAATTATATTAGTTTTAAGTTCATGGAATACGATGTTAAAAAAAAAAAAATCATTAATTTGCTTAATATATAAAATAATCTAAAAACTATAAATAATAACAAGTAGATAATACTAAAGGAAATAAATAACACTAAATAGACAAAAAATTTGAAAAATTAATAAATAGGTAATTATACAAATTAACTATAGTAAATAAATTAGTTTATTTTTGTTTAAATAATGAATATACAATTATCACTTGAAATTAAAAAAAAAAAACGATTTACTAAAATATGTTTAAATAATAAAAAAATTAATAATTAAAAATTACGACTAGTTCTTGTTAGAGAAATTAGTCAAAGTAAATATATGTGCAAAAATGCAATTATCTGTTCATGTTATAAACACAAATTATACAACACTGCGTATAATTTACTATTTTAATATCAAAAAAAAAAAATCGAATTTGAAAAGTGTAAGAAATTTTCCAACACTTAATACAAATTATATAAATTAGAACATTAATATTTTAATTGTTGTAAAATATATTAATTTTTTTTCAATTATCATATTATAATATTAATACTTTTTAAGATATTTTTCAAACATATTATTTTTTATAATGTTATCATTATATTTTATAATCGTGTTAAGTTTAATATAATAAAAACAATTTATAAAAAATGTATACAATTTTAATATACGTCTATTATATACCATAATAATTTAAACTATATGGATTTAATTATTATTTTACACTCACGTTTTCTCTCTTCAACATATCACAGACTTCATTAAAGAACGACGATTCAAACAAATCTTCATGAATTAGGAGAGTTTCCATGGCGTTACATGCGGCTGGGTAATCACACTTGGAATCACGAACTATGTATAAATTTAATTTTACATATTTATGTTAATTTAAAAAAAAAAAACATTAAAAAAAATTACTTACTAATAGTCAAAGCTTTATCCAGGTTGGCATCCTTGTCCACGTATACGTGACATATTCCTTCAGCATGCCCTAAAACGGGTATGTGTGCACTTTGATCTTGAATACTACGGACCAAGTCACTAGATCCACGAGGAATAATAAGATCAATGTGGTTCTCCATAGACAATAAATCGCTGATTTCTTCTCGAGTCGATACCTATTTAATATAAATAATTAGCTAAATGATATGAGTAAAGTTAGTTATATACTATTGTGACAGTTCATTTGCGACGCAAAAGTTATAAAAAAATATGTTGAAAAATATAACGAAACGTGTTGACTTATAATTGTTGAAAAATAATAAATAATTAATGTACGTATAAAATAATCTTAATTATTCTAAGGAATAATACATTAGTAATTACTTGTATTCAACTTTATTCATTATTAGTATGCACAACTTTTTTATTCACACTTGTCGATTTAAAATCTTATTAAAAGTTTTTATTTAGCTGACCCACTAAATATAATATTTTTACAAGTTGCGACTTTTTCACTATCTACATTTTATTATAAAAATATACTACAAAATATTATTTGCCATGTTTAGAATATTGAAAAATGTCAATGTCAAAATATTGCTTGAGTAATTGGAATTTCAATTCCATAAATCCCAAATAAGCTTTCGTAAACTTTCATGTTTGACTAATTTGTTTAAGGTTATTAATTATTAATACCTAAGTGTTTACCAAATACTTCAAATGAATTTTGTGATTATTGTGACTCGTTAAAAAACTATAGATTATTTTATATTCTAAGTACAGTGTGTTTATTAGTTTAATATGATGTACCTACTATTAAAAAATAATAAGTGTATTTAGTATCAAACAAATAAAATTAATTACAAATTATATACGTAACGTATATTTTTATTATTTGTTTATAAATATCAATACATTATCATTCATTTTTTAATGTCATATTTTGTGTATTTATACGAACTCAATAATTTTATTCGTAAAATAAACGTGGTAAAAATATTAATATGTATATTATGATAATTATAAAATAATAATAAATTCCAAGTGCATTGGAAAAAATTATCTCAACCATAAACAACCCATTAAAACGATCGAATAATTGCCCCACACTATCATTTGCCAATAATTCCCTTGATGCTATTAGGTTTTACTAGTGAATCCGCATAAGTCCATTTCGATACACTATTAGTCATATTTTCCATAGTGGCATGTCAAGAAACACAACTGTGAATAATTTACCAACGATATAGCGTCCTGGGCACCGACTGTGGCCAATGCCTCTTTGACTACATCCATGAGTGCTTTGTTACTATGCGACGCCTCTTTGCCTCCTTTCAATAAAAGTCCATTTGCCGAGCTCAACGCCAAAGCAGCTACCTGTGGGCCCACAAAAGTCATTCATAATAACATTTTACATTATTCGAGTGTGTAACACAGGAATGATGTAGCAACATTATATAATATATTATTATTATTGTTCAGTGCTCTAAAATTTACACATTAGCCATTAAACGCAAGACACTCATACACCGTTCTACTCAGTGTGTATAAGAGAAGAAGATTATTAATGTATTTTCAATAACACGTTTTATTCAGCCATTCATAATGTACCTACGGTAAAATGTTTAATGAGATCATATTTTAAGAGAATTCATTATTTTAACTTAACCTTGTAACTAATTTCGTAAAATCCAATATTAAACATTTAAAAAAAAAACTTATGTATAATGTAACATGTACGTGGTTTGTAAATTTAAATTATATATTGTATGAAAAAAAGATGTCATTGATTTCAATAAAGATTCAAAAACAAAAGAATGTCTAATACATAAATACATTATGAATAAATTCATTCTATGTGAAATATGAACAATTTTTAATTCAAAATTCAAAATACAAACTAATGTAAATAATACATATATATTATGCATCGATGTATGACCTTTTTCATTGGGACTTTTTATTAATTAATCTTCCTCTGTTGTTTAAATCTGTCATATTTTATTTTATTTTATGAGAAAAATATTTTTTACAAAATATAATACTCGAATAATCTTATTGTTGTGTTGGTAATATACAGTGATGTCAAACTCGCCTTTGAGTAATAACTAAATCATTTTTTTTTTTTTTTTTTAATGTTTAAATTGATTTTGTATCACTAACAGAAATTTTAAAAGCTTTCTAAAAAAAAAAATACATGGAGACGAATTGTATAATATAACTTTTTCTCTTCAATCCTAGTGTTACATCTATTGACCTAAATATTGCTTGTATTAAATAACCATGTTAAAACGTATAGTTAACATAAATATCGTAAAGCAAATAATTTGTCTAATAAATCAATTCATACTGTATGACGTATATATAAGACATAAATAACAAATATTAATAAATATGTTTCTCAAAAGCTGATTTGAATATAATATGGCAACTTATAAAAAGTAAAAATCAAATAAGATTTCTTTACTTAGCTGAACTTATGTTCAATCTAATTTACATGGATTTTTATGAGACTTTTTTTTTTTTTTTATCATCAACATTTGTTATAAATAATGTATCATAGCAACTCGCATTTATTCTTTAACTTATTCAATAAGTTTATAAAGCTGTATTTGATAACGCTAAAAGCAACTTACAAGTAATTAATCTTTTTCTTTACTCTACGTTTGTACTTTGTATACTTTCTCTATAAAATGTCCTTATTATATCCTTTTATGCCGATTATATCTACTTTATTTATCGTGCATACTTAAGCATATCACAATATTTTTATATAGTTTCTATTTTTCTTAAATAAAAATAAACAAAAATGACATATATAATATTTCTTTCTCTCTCCCTCTCTCTCTCTCTTTCTTTCTCTCGCATTGGAAAATTTGTTATTCTTAAACTTAAAATATATTTACCTGAGGCAAACAATCAGGTCGAGATTCAAAAATGACAAGAAGAACACCAATGGGAACTGTGACTTGAGTTAAATTTAAATTTTCAGAAATCTTAGTCCTCTTTAAGACCTTACCAACATTTGTATGACTAGTTTCGGCAATTTGTTTAAGACCTGCAATAAGATTTATTAATTTAAATAATTTATATTATATTATTATATTTTACTATAAAATAAATCTTACCTATGGCCAAGCTTTTGAGTTTAGCCGGTGTCAAGGATAATCGGCTGATCAAAGGAGCAGCGGTTCCTTCCTTGGTAGCTATTGCTATATCTTTTTCATTTGCGTCTAAAATAGCTGCTTGTTTGGTTATTAACAATTCAGCTAATGCATATATGGCACTTGCACGATCTACAGCTGGTAATTTTTGCAAGATACGACTTCCATAACGTGCTATATAATCAATAAATAGTGTAAATTTTTTTTTTATTGTGATATAATTTAATTGTGTAATATTTAAAAACAAAATAAATATTTATGTTTTACAATTTCATTCCAACATTTAAATATATATTTAATACCCCAAACATCACTTATTTTGATTACTCGATCACTTTTATAGAAATCCGCAGTCAAGGATATTAAATATTTAGTGTATAATACTATTCAAATAAGATAACATTGTTTTTATACCACATTATACAAAATAATAATATACAATATTCCAAACTAAAATTTAAGCATTTTAATTAAATAATTAGATTTTTTTTGCGACCGTTGATATATAACAGCTCGAATAGCGCCTAATTAATTAAATTAATATTTTTGAATACAAAACTATTACGTATTAACTTATTATCTACTACTGAAAAATAACGAAGATTTAAATTAATCTATCATATACTTTTTATGTCTATCGAAGCAAATTCAAAATTGATAGGTGATAAGTGATTCTCCTAAATATAAGTATAGTCAATATATTTACTATTTATTTAATAAAATGCATAGATACAAAAATATTCACTCAATGATTGGTAGATAATTAGTGAGGCCAATACTTGTATGCATTTGCATATTTTTATTGATTGGTCAAAAACTAATAATAATAATTAGATAAAACTTAATATTAGAACAGAGAGTAATTAAATTTAGACCATTTTATTGATCTGATAACTATATATTATAAAAAAATAATGAAGGTAAGTTAACTTAATAAATAATATAACGTGTAGTTAATTCTGCAACTTTATTCAACAAAATTACTGCAACTTAACGATCAGCTATTATTCGTCTGAACACCTTATGTAGTTTGTTTATATTCGAATATATAGTTTAATATCGTATAAATTCAACTAATAATATTGTTTTTGATCTTTATGCTATTCGAAAAAAAAATCAATATACCATTTTCAGCTAGTGTTTCAACTGGAGTGGTATTAGCAGTTGGAGCATTGGTGAAAAATGTTCCAAGTTTTCTACCAGCCATGATAGACTTAATGGCTTTTTCTTGCATACCATTACAGATAACAACAGAAACTCCTCTATTTAACGCCCACGTGGCCGCTTGTACCTAAAATTATAATTCATGTGACTCATTATGTACAAATATCTAGACTATTTAAATTTAATAGGCAGATAAATGGTTTCCCCCTGAAATAGTGTAAATTGCAAATACATCATAAATTCCGTGTACAATTAATATTATAATAAATATGGTAACCCCTCGACTATAAACAAATGGAACCAATTAAACTAATAATAATTAGCGTTACCTATACAATCAAATATTGTAATAATTGGTCTATATCATTATTAAATATTTTTAATGTGATTTAAATGAAATCAATTCACCTTGGAATCCATGCCCCCTGTACCAACAGTTGACTTTTTACCAAACTGTATTATGTCTGCCATATCACTATTGTATGTCCAAATCATTTTTGCCCCTTCCTGTTTTGGTGGCCGTGTAAAGATACCGTCCACGTCCGACATTAAAATTAGTAAGTCTGCTTTAACTTCGGCAGCTAACATAGCCGCCAAACTGTCATTATCCTTGATGCTGATAACCTGTAAAAAAAATAAAGAAAAATTGCTAAACATAAATAGCTTTTATTTTATCAAGTCTAATAATAGCTTGGATAATGCAAATTAAAACAGCGATGATAACTGTTTGATTTTCTGAACACGAGAATTATAATTAATATATCTACTGTATTAAAATATAGTCATTTAAACATTTAAAATTCACTGACCTTCTTTCCATTAGAATTAATGAGGTCGTCGTCCTGTGGCGGCGGTGTCACTGCGTCATTTGTGTTGATAATAGGCACAATATTCATACTGATTAGTTCTGACAACGTGCTAAATAAATTTTTCCTTGTCTCGTCGTTATAGAAATCAGGCTTAGTAACTAAAACCTGAGCGATCTTAACGCCGTATTGTGAAAACATGGCATCATACAAAGACATAAGACCAGATTGACCCACAGCCGCAGCTGCTCTAGCCTTAAGTAATGTTCTGACATCTTTTCTAGCATGGTCGTTAGCCGACAGTGTCTCTCGCATACTCAAAGACATTAATAATTCGTGAGTTAACTTTTGTTTCCCAAATGCCACTGCTCCACTGGTAACCATAATGCATTCGCGACCCTCGTGGTGACATTCGGCTACCTATAAATGTATTTTATAATTTTGTACTTATTATACAAAAATTATTTTATAAAAAACAATAATTTTACTGAAAATACGAATAGCTATTCCAATTTTTTGATGAAATCGAAAGTATTTAAGTTCTTTTTTGGACTTTCTTATAATAATATTGTTTATGTTTTAATAGGTCTATTCAAAAAACTTAATAAATAAATGAAAATTCCCCACATTATTATTTTTGATTTATTAAAATTTTAAAATTTTAATAACATATATTTTAAAGAATATTTAAAAAAATTGTTGAATAAATTTAAAACTAAATCATAAACATCTTGAATTTTAAAACATTTTTAAGGAAACAAAATTCTATAAAATATAAAATGTCATAAAATAAACCAAAAGACTAGAAATTTAACGTACTGTAGTTGTAGTTGTCAAAATAGTTAGTTATCAAAATTAATAACTAAATTAGCTTTTCTTGATAGAATACAATCACAATTAACAATAATAATTGTGTATATTATAATACACAATACAAAACGTCTTGTAAATCGTTTTAATTAATACCGCGATGCTATTTGTATTTTAAGTACCTACCTCATAACTACTTGCATTAAATTTAACCCAACCATAACTAATATTTTATGTTAATTTCCAAAATTTTTCGTTATTAAAAATCACTTTTTTTTTTAATTATATACTTGCTAATTTTTAAAATCGATATAGCATAAATTAAAAAAATGCATCACTAAGTATTGTTTATAAAACGATATATCAACTAATAAAATAAGCTCAACTAAATTATCATTGACTACATTAGACGATCATTCTGCAGTACGTACTTGTTCAACAATTGATGCTAATCGGCCAAGGGCAATTCCGTGTTCGTCTTCTCTCGTGATTACGGCACTACCCAATTTTACTACCAGTCGTCGTGCATACTTCAGTTGTGATCTGTCCACAAACGAGGAACCATTTACTAATTGCGAATCAGCTGATTGCAGTGCTCGTTTTAGGTCCAATTGCATACTCTGAAATCACCAAATATCAATAAATGAAATATAACAGTACTTTTCGGCACATTTGTCATCAAACTATTTACAGATAGCTGGCTATAAGACCTTCTAGCACCACATTGTCGAATGGTGGATGGGTATGCTTTCAAGCATCTACAAATCCGAATACTATTATACATGACTGCCAGCCTACGATGTTGACGTCCCAAAATCATGTTGATCTATACAAAAAAAATTTAAAAAAATATTTTACGTCTTATCAATTACGCGCTAAAATACATTGTAAATAACTATCAAGTACATCTTATTGTTAAGGTAAATTTACATAAAATGTATAGATATTATTTTTTTTTTTTTACTTTTGTTGAAATTAAATTTCTCAATTATTTTAACTTAATATATTTTAAAAACTTAAATGTTTATATTGCATATTTTTCACATTGTTTGTATTATTTATACAGTAATATTGAATAACTGAAGATTAAATTTATCAATTACAACATGATAACATTTAATAGTAACAATTACCCATATTTTATTTATTTAAAGTGTTATATAATGAAATAAATGTATTATAATATAATCTTTAAAAATTATCAAATCAAACAACGCATCTAAGTTTAAGATCAATTATGAAACAAAATTGATTTATTTGCCATAAAAATTTAGGTTTACAATAAATAAAAACCATATTAAATATAATAAAAAACAAGTATATCGTAGTCGTTTATATTCAAGCATAACAGTTAAATCTCTACCTATGCAGAATTATTTTAAAAAAATTTTGAAGGGCAATAAAATATAGTTAAGTTTTCAAGAAGACATCATATTCGTCAACTCATTGGATAAATAAACAACATAATGCTATTTCTGGTTTTCAAAATCTGTCTTTATAGATTATAACATAATATTATGTCCTCTATAGATTTACTTGAAAGACTAACAAATTGTTCGCTTCAACATGTAATTAAATTTATGGGAGTAAGAATAAATTCAACTAAAGTAATTTCCTGAATAGTATTCCAACAATTTTCAGTTAATTGTAAACAAAAAGTTTTAATTTCTTTAAATTTTTTTTTTTTTTTAAATCGTACACAGTAATAAATAACAAACATAATCGGATCTAATTGATATTAAATAGAAACTTTAAGTATCAAGATTGTTGTCAAATACGACAATATAAGACACATTTACGTAAAATATATTTTTCTTGGATACAGATATAATATTTGTATATTATATAAAAGATATTTTCAAATAAAAATTAATTTCAGTACCTAAAAAAATGCGTACATAATATCATCAATTATCAATTATTTACATTTTTAAAATTATTTTATAGATACTTAATTAATTATTGTAATAACGTATGAATAATTAATATTTAAAATATTATTCACCGTAAACATTTTTTTTTAAATTAAATAATAATAAATAATTGCTTAGTTATAAAATAAACTCATATACAATTTATAAAAAAATAATCATTAAAACAATTAATTACAGCAATAATATCTTATGGGTAACGATTATATTATATTTTAAATTTAAAATCAACACTCATAAAATTTAATGAGACAATAAAATTATGTCTGCGTCAATTTATTATGTTTAAGCTTATTTATGATATAAATTATTAAATAATGAACATTGTACAATTGTAGACATATAATAGTAGCGTTTGAGTATTAAATTAATTTACCTACCTACTAGTTAATATATAAACTATTTGCAGTTAACTAGGAAATTAATTTATGAGCTATTGCAATAAACGTCAATTTTTATATGAAATATAATATGGTTGATTAACTTTAATTATAAATCATGGATTTGTAAACAATTTAAATTCAGTGTTATACTGTAACGAAATAATGTCTATCGTTGATTTATTCACGTATTGTTGAGTTTGTAATGTATAAATGTATATTGCATAAACTATTATATATTATTGATTCAAAATATAACTACAAAATAGAATTTACATAGTTAAGTGTTCACAGATCTGAACACTTTTAGTTTTAACTAAACAGAATATCTATTGTCATTATAAAAAGTATTACCTCATAAAATCGTGGTAATATTAATTAATAAGCAACAGTTTTTATTAATAATATGACATTAGGCAATTTGTAATAGTTTCTATTTTTTTAAATCATGTTTTTAGTCAATAGTATTTTAAACTGCATTTTTCCAAGAAAAATATAATTGTAAATCATATTATCAATTTAATGAAAAGTAAAATAGAAATTATGAAAGGCAATAAGTTACAACTCAAAGACATACGTTTCTATGTTAGTGATGGCCAACTCGATTAAGAGTCCGTTAATGCTGTACTATGGCTCAAGTAGGATATTAAATGTAACGATAGCAGTTGTAGCGAATGGAAATAAAAAATAAATATATATCATCTTTTAATAACATTGATGATATTACATGCTTTCTTTTAAGACTTAAAGTCATATGTACTCATACGATTTGTGTGTAATTTTTACTTAAAATTACCTATTATTACATCCATGACCAAAATAAAAACAGTTGAATATTATGATTTTCAAACTTTTTATATGCGTTATAAAATACTATAATTCATAAAATAGCAAAACGTATATTATAATAAGTATATTTATGCGAACTAACCTGAGCGAGACGTTTGAAGTAGCCGGAATGGTAGTAACGTAACTGATTTGCCTACTCTAATGTGAGTCTAACTAATGTTTATAATTGAACCCTGGACACTTTGTTATCAGAATTACAGATAATAACAACAATTCTTCCTCACCTTTGCCGTATTTCCTGCTCCTTATCGTTTCTTGTTTTGGTTGGACTTTATTTTCTCATTTGAGCGAATTTGGTAAGAAATCAATATAAATACATAATGTCGACTAACATATACTAATAGATACGATTAATAATATAATATACACGTACTTTTGTTTGAAACAGGCCACTTAATGCAAGGTCGGCGCTCCGATGTTGCAAAATTATATGGCTACTCCTTCTCTGGATTACACATTTCACAACACGATTCAGGTTCAAAACTTCGTTTCCTCTAAAGATAATAATTGCTTCTTATCAAACATCATGTATTATTGTACACGCGAATTTTACTCTTCAATATTTAATACTTTAAAAAAGTTATTATTAACTACTTGACTACACAAAATATAAATTATATGTTAAAAATTAATCTCCTGGGAAATATTTTAAATGAACTATATCACATTATTTCGATATTTTTTCCATTATTTTATTTATTTCCAATCAAATTGCTTGTTACTCAATAATTTTTTTTCAAAATATTTGTAAATTATATCAATAAATTATTATTTAAAATGCTTTACCTTATTGTTTTTTATTTTTTTTATCATAAAGTAATATTCTGTTGTGCGAAAAAAATATACCTATTATACTTTTTTATAACACTAAGCATTTTAAGTAAAATTTAAACAAATATTTTAATTTTTACATGAATATTGTAATTGATCGTTATATATATTATTTTATTATTATAAACAGGAAAATATATTATAATAAATATGTAACTATATGTTTTTATTCGTGTTATGGTATTATGGTATATATCAATGACCTATCGACACATTTTCATAACATTTTCACAACACAAACATATTTTTAAAATATTTTAATCAATAGGTAATGTAAAAAACATTGACCTGTAGTTAATGAAAAATTATGATAATCCATCTTTAAATAAAAGAATCATATCTAACCCACAGATTCCGAATGATCAAAAAAAAACCTCCTTATTATGCATTGTACGAAGTTAACCCATTTATTAAACACTTATACTAGTCTAACCAAGTGTCACTAACAATACCAAACCAAAACATTAAGCATAAACATATGAGTGAACCTCGGTACATCTCTTGGCCCGAACCCGACGAATAACAAAACAATCTATATTTAAACCCAAAAAAAAAAAAAAATAAATATAATACTATTTTATTTGTATTAAAGAATGTCGTAATAAAATAAAAGATAAAATTACTAAACTATTTTTGATATAACCATATCTGTTATGCAATCCACGCCTTTAGTGGTTAGTTGCCTTGGTTTGTTAATATGTTTTTCTATTAGTACTTTTCTTTTTTCTTTTTTTTTATGCATGTTTTAATTTTAAAAATAAATGCTAAATATTTCATAATTTTTACATATTTTGACTGAAATAACAACATAAAAATTTACATATTTTGACTTTTTAATTTAATTAAAACTTGCTCCCTAAACCCTAGTCATTATACTTAAGTAATATTTACATTAAATTTAATAATGCACATAATTAATAATGAATTTTTATAAAGCTTAGTTAAATTTTTAAATAATAATAATGTATAATAAGTTATATCATTAATTAGTTACTCATAATAGATAAAATGTATAATTATTAATCAATGGTAATATAAATAATATTACTTATTAACTGTGATTAGCATTGAGTCAAATTATAAAGCTACTTATACGAAATACGAGTATGTGTATACCAATGTGAACAATATTACAGTGAAACTTCCCCTAGCGGATATCTTTTGATAAAAGATATTTTTTTTAAACGAGAACATTTTTACTACTTTTCAATAGAAAAACCTCCGAAAAGTTAACACTTATTTTAATCTTAATTTAAAAATAATGAAAAAAAATGTGTAAAAACACTTACACACACTAGTATACAACTTGTTCAAAAACCGATTTTTTCACACCACATTGAATAAAATTGTATTCATGGATGCAAACATTTCTTTTTTCATATTTTTTATATTTATTTAAACATTTATTGTTAAAATATTAAAATTATTACATTAATAAATTATAATATCTTAATATTTACACATGTATCGTTCTTTTAAAACATTAAACAATAATATTATAATTTAATTTATTCTAATGCATATTTTTTCTTTTTACATATTTAGATACTCTTTATGAATTTTAAAAATTTACCCCATCTGAGTAGCGGACATTTTTAAATATTGAAAAAAATTTCTGTGACCGAAACTATTCACTATTTAAAGGTTTCGCAGCATAATGTTCTAATAATAAAAATAGGTATGTACTTTCCCATATCTTTCAACCAAGTTTCGGCCCCTAATTCCGTAGATTTGTTAATCCAAGTTATTTATTTGTCCTAAATCAATAAACTATATTAGACAATCAAAACTGCCGAAAAAAACATAAATATAATTTAAAATATGGTATA